GGGGTCAGTCAGGGCTGATATGTGCATACCATCAAACTGCTATCCAATACTGATAATGCTAACCCAAATTGAATTACTTCCAATGGAAATTAAACAAATGTTGGTCCAAAATGTGATTTCCCTATAAACTATAGTAAAGTTTACCCCCTCTCCAGGGGGAAACGTGAGACCCCAGGGTTATGAAATTCACAAATTTGGTAAAGCACCTCAAGACCCTTCCATCTATAAAGAGTATTTGATTCTAGCATATCTGGGTCTTGAGAAGAAGATTTTTGAAATTTCAGTCAATTCGACCCTTTTTGGCCCCACCCATCAGGCCCCTTGGGGCTGGGGACCATATAATTCACAATTTTAGATGACCTTTGGCCATGGAAGGTTTCTGCAAACATTTCATTGAAATTGGTTCAGGGGTTTTGGAGAAGAAGTCGAAAATGTAAGTTGTTTACGGACGCACGACGGACGACGACGGACAAAAGGCGATCGCAATAGGTCATTTGAGACTTTGTCTCAGGTGACCTAAAAATCTTGACCGTATTTTCATTTTTGTAAGGATTCACAAGCTAATCATTTTTAATGAAATTAAATTGATACTTTTCTTTCATCTAATTGTTGCATTTGAAATGATGAATACCAGTAAAACTTGTTAACTCTTTCACCACTATAGCCCGAAATGGACTCGTCCAGATCAATGCATGGTAGAGTCTACTAAAGTTACAGAGGGGTGAAAGGGTTCAGTCGACCCACATGGCTCCTAACCTTGATTGAATACACATATCCAAGGGCGGCCTATTTTCAAAGACGGCTTCTTATTTAGATGTTTCACTGCAAGGAATCCAGGGCTTACTTTCAAGTCCGGCCTATTTTCAAATTAGGCTTTTTATCAAGATTTAAGGGTTGCCTAACAGTGTTACTGCTTAAAAAACACTTTTGAAGCTAGTAAACTTTTCTTAATAATCTAACTTACCTGGTAAGATAATTTCTTCATTTTTCATTTATTTTTCACCAAAGAATTTGCTCACTAATAATAATGATGGAACCTAACAGTATGCAAAACAACTACCATTAAGTGAAAATTTGCCCGACATATCATTTATCATCCTTTTTGACCAAAAAGCCAGCGTACCGAGCTCTGGGTGGCTGGCATGACAACGGGCATGCCAGGAAGGAGGGAATCTTCCGTCAATTGTCCCGCAATATTCCTTGTAAAGTAAACTTCATACTCGTATTTGCCGAGGCCCGACAGATCGTCTGCCCATCCGTCCCAGCTGAAGCTGATTGATGGCTGCAAAAGCATGAAAATATTATTTCAGGAAATCTATAAAGTGTCAGCAGTTTTACTGATGTTTGTGGCGAGGCACGACTCTAGAGCAATGACTCTATTTTCTTTGTAAAACTGTCCAGGGCAAGAAAGTGAGGTAAGAAATTTCCACCTTCAACAAAATTTCACATATTTGACAATACAATGGGGCAACAATGATGTTACGTCAGGAAATTGGGAAAATTAATTCAGATAGGGGATTGGGAATCTACTGATGTGGATAAAATCGGAAACTAAAATAACTTATTTAATATTATAATAGAAAATTCCTCAGGTGGAATTTCCCTATACATGTATTACACCACTGAACATGAAAGTGTCTTGTATACTGACTTTAAAAGGGAGTATTAAGTTACATAATGGTGAGGTGGGGAGTGGGGAGTGGTGAGGGAGCAAGTGGTGACTCATTAGTAACATTATACTCACATTATCAGTAAGGTCGGGTGCCGTGACTGCCTGACCACAGGAAGTGCCCCCACTCGCGGCACAGGCATGATACGGCAGCTCCATGTCAAAGTGGTACATGAATCGGCGCGAGTGGGTCTTCCCTTTCAACTTGAACAAGGTTTGGGCATAACGATTTTCTCTATGGACGATTCTCACGTACCCTCCATTTTTGACTGACATATCAAAATACAATCTGAAACAATAACGCTACCTGCATTAAATGCAAATTGTTTTTCAAGCATTCTTTGTGTAAACAATATCCAGGTATAATGCATCTTTAGTCCTTAAATTCCAATGATACTATACCAATTGGATGTTTATCAGCAATGGACAGATGTAAGGTTTTGTGTGTCTTTAACTAGATTTAACTTAAAGCAAGGGGATTTGTGGACGCCTTTACCCCACAAATGAAACTATAGAGGCTAAGGTGACCCCATAGTGGTACATGGCACACCGCTAAACCACGATATACAAACATACCAAGTATGAACTCCCTATATGAATCATTGAGCAAGATATGGCATGGAAATCAGAGTGTCTTTCAGATCAAGGTCAAAGGTTAAATAGAGGTCATTGTGTTCTTATTTTGAAATGCAACAAAACAACTTCTTGTTATGTAACTACATACCATGCATATAAGGGCTGTCACATTATATAGTGCTAAACATGCTAAATGGAAACTGTAACAGACACACAAGACAAACTATATATGTCCTTCACTTGAATGGGGTAAAAACACACACTTTTACCCATAAATGAAGTGTAACAGGAAAGACAAAAGTGCGTTTCCACCGGGGATCGAACCTGCCATTCCTAGGTTTCTAGTCCGACGCTCTACCACTGAGCTAAAGGGAAATTCCCTCTAGCTGAAGAAACTAGAAGGCGATCGTAATCCTATGTACAATTAAAATCTGCCACAGAAGGATTATCGTACTTATCATTATGCCTGAAGTCGCTCCATGCACTGAACGTGATATCCTTAGAACACGTGTAGGCTGCTGTTGTTGGATTCATGTCGGATCCCTGGCACTTTCTGGTGTAATACGGCCAAACTGTTGTTGAACCTACAGAAATGTTCACACAGACAAATATAATACAGTCACAAATGGATCTGATGATCTGTCCTAGGAGACCATCTTGAGGGATCTTTAGCACTTGGTAACTCAATATACACAAATTAGGCCCCTGTTGCGTATCTGGTACAACCAGTTGAAACAGTTGAACCTGAACTTGCTATTTTTATTCTCCGAAACTGTACATTATTTAAATTCTGCCTACAGTTTGGTCCAAGTGCTTTTGTTTATTGTGGAATGTTTCTGCGTCACCTAAACTGTGTCAACCAGGATACGCAAATGCGACCCTGGTTTCTGTGATTTCAGGCACATTTTCAATGAAAGCAGTATGTGGTTTTGTGGATACCCTGTTTTGGTGGCAAGTAGTTTAGAGCCAAAAATACTCATCAAATTTTTAGAAAAGAATTTCGTAATCTTATCCCCTGTGTTATGTGACCATTGTCTTGGGATATTACTTCAAAACAGATAAACTGAGCAGACAGTTCAACATGTACTTAATCATCGAAATGCTTTTTGTCACATTCTAGTTGGCATTCATACCGACTATAAATGCCAACTGAACTTAGAACCTGAGTAACAAGAGTTACTATGCACCTGGAATTCTAACGAGTTACTATGCATTTGAAGATCTAATACATTGAAAACTTAAGTGAACAAGAGCTCACCTGAATATGTTTTAAATAATTGGTATGAAGTAAAGATATAGCACTCCATGGTAGGTGCTGTAAGTACATATGAAATTTCAGAAAGATCCATCCAGTACTCGAGATATAGCGAGAACAAACTTCAAACAGAGCCCCACCCCTATGCCCCTGCGGGGGTCATACCCACCAATTATACAAAATTGAGACACCTTGGTCCAAGGATGCTCCAGACTAAATATGGAAAAAATCCCTTAATCTCGATGGTCGAAGAAGGATTTAAAAGGTTTTACCTCTATTTCTCCTATTGGCCCCCGCCCTTCTGTCCCCTGGGAGACCACACCCACTGCATATACAAAATTGAGTCCCCTTGGCCCAAGGATGCTCCAGACTAAATTAGGAAAAAATCCCTAAATCCCTATGGTAAAAGAAAGATTTTAAAGGTTTTACCTCTATTTCCCCTATTGGGCCCCGCCTCTCTGCCTCCAGGGGGTTAGACACACCGTTTAAACAAAATTGGTTCCCCTTCACCCAATGATGCTTCATACCAAATTTGGACAAAATCCTGTTGTTCATATAGAAGAAGAAGGTATTTGAAGAATTTGCTATGTTTCCCCTATTTGGCCCCTCCCTTTTGTCCCTAGGTGGGCCACACTCGCTGTTTATACGCAAGGTTGGACTGATGGAGCGCCTCAGCCAGGCAATTTGCAAGGCACATCTTGATGCGATGGCCTTACTGTCGGCTGCCATGTCACACCTTGTTGTTGCCCGCCGGTTGTCGGTCCTTTCTGGACTGCCAGTCGGCGATTCCTATCGGGCTACCCTTTTGGAGGCTCCCTTGACTGGCGAGGATTTGTTTGGCGGGGTCCTTCCCTCAGTGCAATCTGAGATGAGGTTGGACCCGTTTGCATCTGAGGATGCACGCCACAATTCCGCAGGCAAGGGCGCTAGCAGGAAGAGGCAGGCTTCTGGCTCCTCCAGGCGTAGGAGGAAGAGGGCAAAGACGACTGCTTTTCAGCAGCAGTCTGCCCCTCCGACTTCCGCTCCGGCAGAACGTCGGAAATCTTCCTTCCGCGGTAGGGGTTCCCATAGGGGTCGAGGCAAAGGCAAAGTTTCCAGAGGTAGGAAGGGTTCCTGACTCTTCCTTGCCCTTGCAAACTCCTTGTCCACTGTCTGTGGCCGCTCCCACGTCCTTGGGCGCGGGAGGCTCCGCCGAGGTGGTTTGGGAAGGGCTAGATTGGCCCCTTCCGGACTTGCCAGTAGGCGGTCGGCTGTCCCATTTCGTTCCTCAGTGGAAAGAAATCACTTCAGACAGTTGGGCCCTAGGGGTTGTGTCCAAGGGTCTCTGCATCCCGCTTCTTCGGGATCCACCTCTGGCGCGAGAGCCTATCTTTTTCCCTTCTCCTTCCGATCCGGGAAAGGTGGAGGCTCTCAGGTCAGAGGTTCAAGCCATGATCGCGAAGGGCGCGATCGAAGAACTTTCACGGGACCAGTGGTCTCCAGGGTTTTACTCCCGGGTCTTCCTCGTGAAGAAGAAGTCCGGTGCCTGGAGGCCTATTATCGACCTCAGTACGTTCAACACGTATGTCGATTCCCCGCACTTCCAGATGGAAACGCCACGGCGCATCATTGCGTCAGTGCGTCCAGGGATGTGGGCTACGTCCATCGATCTGAAGGATGCTTACTTTCACATCCCGGTCAGGAGGTCGGCCAGGAAGTTCCTCAGGTTCACTTTCGAGCAGAAGGTTTACCAGTTTCGCGCTATGCCCTTCGGCCTCACTACGGCCCCCTTGGTTTTCACCAAGTTGTTGCAGGTAGTAGTGGGGCACCTCCACAGTCTCGGGGTAGATGCACACATCTACTTCGACGACTCCCTGTTGCTCCAAGTGGATCCAGTTATCCTGTCCCGGAGCACGAGGTCGGTTCTGGGCGTTCTGTGCCGCCTAGGGTTCATCCCTTCCAGGGAGAAGTCGGAGGTTCTCCCCTCTCAAGATTTTGTTTTCCTCGGTTATCGGTTCAGAACCGATCTGGGGTTTGTCCTTCCACCAGTGTCCAAGTTCGAGAAGGCCTCTCTGTTGGTCTCCGTTCTGGTCGGTGTGGAGCGAATTCAGGTCCGATGGTTCCTTCGGTTCCTCGGTTACCTGAATTCATTGGCGGATGTGGTTCCCTTGGGTCGGCTTCACATCCGTCCGCTCCAGCTGTTCCTTCTGTCAGTTTGGTCTCCGGCGTCTCGACAGTGGGATGTGTACATTCCTCTGCCGGAGTCGGTGAAGGAATCAGCTCGTTGGTGGACTCTCAAGAGCAATGTCTTGGCAGGAGTTCCTCTGGTTCGGGCATCTCCTGCTATGACCCTTTACACCGACGCGTCCATGACCGGTTGGGGTGCATACCTTTCCGGTCAGACGTCGGCGGGGGTGTGGTCAGGGGAACAGCTTTCAGAACACATCAATGTTCTGGAAATGCGTGCTGTTCTGTTGGCCCTTCGGGGTCTTCGACCCTCCCTGCAGGGCAAGGCCATTTGTCTGGCTACAGACAACTCCACTGTGGTGGCTTATCTGCAGCGCCAGGGGGGCACCCGTTCCCCGGCTCTGTGTGCTTTATCCACCCAGGTCCTGTTGCTGTGTCAGGAGATCAGTCTCGATCTCACGGTGAGGCACCTTCCAGGTCGTCTGAATGTTCTGGCCGACACTCTGTCTCGGTCTCGGAGCCCGGTTCTCACCGAATGGACCCTCAAGCGTTCGGTGTTCCGGTCTCTTTGCCTGGTTTGGGACAGACCCCATGTGGATCTGTTCGCCACGNATTATGTCTTCTCCGCGTGATCCGGAACGCTGGTCGTAATCAGGCTTTGTGTCACAAAAGGAAAGGGTATTTTGAATTTTTCCTCCGGGGGTATGGGTCCTATTGTTGGAACCCTTCATCGCTCCACGGAGACACCACTGCGGTAAGTCGAATTCGCATTATAATGACTGTGGTAACGTATTTTGAAATAGAATTGAGGTTTCTCTTGTGAAACCAATTTCTATTATAAATACTTACCACAGTCATTAGGTGAGTTCCCTCCCAGCCTCCCCTTGTCTCCTTGGCTCTCACTTTTTTGGGCTTTGGAATTATGAAGTGGGAAGCATGGCTTCGTGTCTTAAATCACGTGCGTGAATACTGCCGTCTGATTGGTGGGTTTCCCAGGGGTTCCCCATGGGGGGAAAAATTCTTTATTTACGTATGTAAAGAGCCAAGTAAGGTTGGAATATGCATTATAATGACTGTGGTAAGTATTTATAATAGAAATTGGTTTCACAAGAGAAACCTCAAGTTTATACGAAATTGAGTCCCTTTTATCAAAGGATGCTCCTTCAGACCAGGTGAGCTAAAAATGTAGTACCCGTCTCTAATTTTCAATTGTCTATTTTTTATACAATTTACTTGCATTTGGTCAATTTTACCATATCTCTATAATTATATAGCTTTAACTGCTCCTGACCAATGTCCTGATTGGTCAGTTTTAGGAGAGCACCTGTTCTCTGTTCAACTTACCTCTGTACAAGGTAAACTTGATCTCGCCACCAATGATACCATACTGAAAGTCTGTGACATAATGGGTGGTCCCATCACTGGATGGAGTAGGAGGCAAGTCGGCCACAGGGACATCAACCTTGAACACACCGGTAAAGTATGCACTGACCCTGTTGATTAACCCATTATTGGTCCACACGGTGGGCATCGGGTCAGAATAGGTACCACTGAGATCGGTAGGGTTTTCCACTGTCCTACCATTCAAGTCTTTGAGGACTGCTTGCTGGTCACTGACGGATGGAGCATCAATTACTGGAAAACATACACGGGGCTAAATGACTTGAAATTAAGTAATTGAAATTAATTCATATTGAAAATAATAAATACCCTACATACGACTCTATATCCTGTGTTGCGTAAGAGCTGTAACCATGGTTACATTTTGTATATGTCTAAATTTTTGGTCCTTTTTTTTTTCTTAACTAGAATATGTGGCCAAGTATTATGACATGTTTTGATCTATATAAAGTTTAGAAGTTGATTGGTTGCCACAACCTTGACCAGTCATGTGATGCCTTGTCCAGTCTCATCTTTCAGAAAGCTTGGTACAGAGCCATAGAAATTCACCAATATCTTGACCCCATTCCCAACCCATCAAAGACATAAAGGTCTCTTTGTCTCGCTCCCAATCTGAATTCTTCATTAACAAAATAGTTTATAATTTTGAAAGATTGCACTGATTTTTGAAAAAGCAGATATTATTCCATGGTAGCATTGTTCTCATTAAATAAATCTGATATAGCTTCTTTTTAATCGCAAAAGTTGTATTACTAACAAAACCAACCAGACAACCTCTACCATGAACAACATGTGCAAAATTATCAAGAAGGATCCAGCACTAATGTGTTGGAAGAAGAACTTGATCAGAGACTTACTCTCGTCACAGTGGTGGCCAGTGAAACCCTGCATGCATACACAACTAGCTGATGTCTCCGCAGAACACTTTCCAGGGTAGCAGCGCGTGCTGTCTGATCTCCATGAACACGCCTCTGTCAACATACAACGATAATGGTAAACAAACGGTAAACAAACTTCTCAACAAGATTACTGTGAAATCAGATATTTTCATTGTGCCAAAATTTCGTGTTTTTTTCCGACAAAACACCATTTCCTTGGTATATGAATTCATGGATAACGATTACCCACTCAAACAGAGAATTGCTTTATATCAAACTTGTGATTACTTTGTGGACCTTTCAATTTGTGGATGAAGATTTCCCACGAAATCAATTAAATTAAAAAACCCACGAAAATTAGTGATTTCACAGTGCATGGTAGGTGGAGCTCAACTACAGCACAACAAATGTACTGCAAGTGTGACACCGTCCTCAACCCGCTCAGCTTTGATGCTGTTTCAGTATAAGTAAATAGGGGAAGAATTACCAACAAAATTGGATGTTGACCTACAGTGTATGAATTAGTTTCCGCTTTTTTTCTTTTTTCATTTAGATATACATTTTGATATTTAAAAGGAATATTCTGGTATCTGCATGTCTGCCTGGGGGATACTAAAGATTAAAAATGTTCATTACATTTTTAAATATAATTATTTTTCTCACTTTAACAATGATGATGTTTTATATTACCGTTATTAAAAGCAGAATATCTAACTGCACTTGAGATATTATAACAAAAGTTATTAAATATACTTGAATTTAATCTCACATGAAAATAACATTTTACATCGAAACATATTGAATGATCTGTTGAACAAGAACAAAAATCATCCATTTTGAAAGCAAAATTAACAATTATATCTTGTAAAAAATAATAAATGTAACGCACGTTTACAGCTTTTCTGGTTGTCGGTGGCGGAGGTGTAAGCCCGCCAGTACTGCTCCTCCCTTATCGCCCCATCACAGTAGGCACAATGGTTGTCCGAGGGAGAAGTGCACTTCCTGTGCAGGCAGCGGTCTATCTTTGGACAAACTGGACACAAAATAAGCATCATATATATCATGCATCATTTCAACTTACTGAATATATTATACAACTATCCCCACCCCCTAAAATAAATCTTTCAAGGATTGAAATTATTTAACTAATTCACACCTGAAAACACATTTGAACTCTTCCAATTAGAAGCTTGGAATAGTTCATTGTGAAATTTCAGGGGTGAATGAGTTAAATCTACACTTATTGGCAGTAAAATTCAACTTCAGTCAAACTCAAAGTCCAATATCAATCTTTGAACTTGAAAAAGTTGCCCCATCTAAACCATTTTTCTGTTAAATCTACAGTTAATTTGACACAAACCTGTTGAACTGAAATGTCTATAGCTCTCATAACTCAAACAGATATTTTGCTCCTGGCCTCTTTCACAACCTTTCATTATATTCATTGCATCCTCAATACTCAAGGGGTTACGCTCACCAACGCTCTCTGCACCCCTGAAATCATCCTCAATACTACAGGGGTTATGCTCACCAACGCTCTCTGCACCCCTGAAATCATCCTCAATAATCCAGGGGTTACGCTCACCAACGCTCTCTGCACCCCTGGAATCATCCTCAATACTCCAGGGGTTACGCTCACTAATGCTCTCTGCACCCCTGGAACCATCCTCGATACCCCAGGGGTTACGCTCACTAACGCTCTCTGCACCCCTGAAATCATCCTCAATAATCCAGGGGTTACGCTCCCCACCGCTCTCTGCACCCCTGGAATCATCCTCAATACCCCAGGGGTTACGCTCACTAAAGCTCTCTGCACTCCTGGAATCATCCTCAATACTCCAGGGGTTACGCTCACTAAAGCTCTCTGCACCCCTGAAATCATCCTCAATACTCCATGGGTTAAGCTCACTAACGCTCTCTGCACCCCTGGAATCATCCTCAATACTCCAGGGGTTAAGGTCACTAACGCTCTCTGCACCCCTGGAATCATCCTCAATGCTCCAGGGGTTACGCTCACTAATGCTCTCTGCACCCCTGGAATCATCCTCAATACTCCAGGGGTTAAGGTCACTAACGCTCTCTGCACCCCTGGAATCTTCCTCGATACCCCAGGGGTTACGCTCACTAACGCTCTCCGCACCCCTGAAATCATCCTCAATACTCCAGGGGGTATGGTCACTAACGCTCTCTGCACCCCTGGAATCTTCCTCGATACCCCAGGGGTTACGCTCACTAACGCTCTCTGCACTCCTGGAATCATCCTCGATACTTCAGGGGTTATGGTCACTAACGCTCTCTGCACTCCTGGAATCATCCTCAATACTCCAGGGGTTACGCTCACTATCGCTCTCTGCACCCCTGAAATCATCCTCAATCCTCCAGGGGTTATGGTCACTAACGCTCTCTGCACTCCTGGAAACATCCTCGATACTCCAGGGGTTACGCTCACTACCGCTCTCTGCACCCCTAAAATCATCCTCAATACTCCAGGGGTTACGCTCACTAATGCTCTCTGCACCCCTGGAATCATCCTCGATACTTCAGGGGCTATGGTCACTAATGCTCTCTGCACCCCTTGAATTATCCTCGATACTCCAGGGGTTACGCTCACTACCGCTCTCTGCACCCCTAAAATCATCCTCAATTCTCCAGGGGTTATGGTCACTAACGCTCTCTGCACTCCTGGAATCATCCTCAATACTCCAGGGGTTATGGTCACTAACGCTCTCTGCACCCCTGGAATCATCCTCGATACTTCAGGGGTTATGGTCACTAATGCTCTCTGCACCCCTTGAATCATCCTCGATACTCCAGGGGTTACGCTCACTAACGCTCTCTGCCCCCCTAAAATCATCCTCAATACTCCAGGGGTTATGCTCACTAACGCTCTCTGCACCCCTGAAATCATCCCCAATACTCCAGGGGTTAAGCTCACTAATGCTCTCTGCTACCCTGGAATCATCCTCGATACTCCAGGGGTTCGGCTCACTAACGCTCTCTGCACCCCTGAAATCTTCCTCAATACTCCAGGGGTTATGGTCACTAACGCTCTCTGCACTCCTGGAATCATCCTCAATACTCCAGGGGTTATGCTCACTAACGCTCTCTGCACCCCTAAAATCATCCTCAATTCTCCAGGGGTTAAGCTCACTAACGCTCTCTGCACCCCTAAAATCATCCTCAATACTCCAGGGGTTACGCTCACTAACGCTCTCTGCACCCCTGAAATCATCCTCAATACTCCAGGGGTTAAGCTCACTAACGCTCTCTGCACCCCTGGAATCATCCTAAATACTCCAGGGGTTACGCTCACTAATGCTCTCTGCACCCCTGGAATCATCCTCGATACTCCAGGGGTTACGCTCACTAAGGCTCTCTGCACCCCGGAATATGTCATAGTAAAATTGAAGGCTCAGTGTGCACCACCTTGTGGATGAGACCAGAATACTAGTTCAATCCTTTGATGTACAGTACAGTATGGTCGTGTAACGGTCGTGTAACGTTACAAAACACTGGCTTTGAAGTAGGTTGTCACTCCTTTGTAATCTAGCCATTGGTCAGGTGTTTTTTTACCCGAGAGCCGAACTCCTGGAGAATCGAGGATGTGTTCATTGTGACCTGTTGCATTATACACAGTCCATAACATCCTCGATATATAGGGGTTACGCTCACTTTCGATCTCTGCACCCCTGGAATATGTCATAGCAAAAATGAAGGCTCAGTGTGCAGCACGTTATGGATGAGAGAGAAGACTAGTTTGATCCTTTGATGTACATCAAAAGAATCTCGCGGTCCTGTAATGGTAAAGCTTACTGGGTTTGAAGTTGGGCATCGCTCTTCTGTAATCTTTAAAGGACAAGTATAAGCCTAGTAATTGGTCCTGAGGATTTTTTACCCGACACCAATCAAAAAGCTAGCTGCTTGCCTTCAATTTTGCTATGACATATTCCAGGGATGCAGAGAGCGAAAGTGAGTGTAACCCCTGGATATCGAGGACGCGTCCATAACTAATGTAAAGAATGTTGCAGATTTTTTGCAAAAATGATACAAAATGTAACTTGGTAGAACAATATGATTAAATTGATTGTTACTTTTTTTTTTGTAACCAACATTTTCACATGCGAATCATCATCTTTGGTTAGGCTCAACAACAAAAAGCTAAAAAAAACTTACTTGATACATCTTGTAATCTATGTAAATCTATGTAAAAAACAGACTTACAATCTAAATCGATTACCTGTTTCAGAACTGGAAAGTAAGTCATTTTTTTTTTTTCTTTTTTCTGTGTTAGATATATACATGTACATATGACTGAAAACATGAAACATGGGTTGCCGTTGATTTTTGGTATTTGTATTTCTAAGCATTAAATAAAACATGATCATTTCTTTATTTGTAAACATTTTCTTCAGGTTGGTAAGAATGGATTATGAAAAGATTCTGGTAACACAACCAGTAAGTGGTTCTATGTGACTTGTCCACAAATCGATGTCGATTCGGCTACGCTTTGTACATACCATACTAGTCATCAATTAAAAACATTATGATTTCTTGCTGTCATTTGTTAAAAATGGATATAAAACAGTATATGATAATATGAACCCTTAACCACCTACCCAAAAAATAAAATGTAAGCATCACTAGGTAGATCTAGTCATTCCATTGATATTAGTCCATATCCAATTGTGAACCTGCAGACTGGTTCTGTTACCTCAAAACAACAACCCCAACAAAATGACGAAATCTTTTTGCAAATCTACGAAAGTAGTGTCAAACAACTATAGCTAATTATAAAAGACCCTACACGTGACCCCACCAGATATGTGGAGGCTGGATTAATGGAGGTGCATGGGAGAAACAATCAGCCTTTATGAAAAAACTACTTACTTTCACACATGCCCCCATTTGCATAGAATCCGTCGTTACAGTTGGAACATTGTTCGGGAGCATTGCAACTACCCCCGCTATGTCTTTGTGTCGAACCAGACCTGTATTGGATGTAGTCGTTGCTGTAATACTGGGTACATGCCCCGTCGCCCTCAGGATTGATACGCCTGTTACAAATGGCTGTGGAAAAATACAACATAATTGGTTTGTATATCAATTAGCACTATTAGACTAAAATAGCCAAACATCATTAGGTGCTACATTGAATCATTGTAAGGAAATTGAAAGACATGGCATTAGACTAGTAAAATTATTTTGTATAGAAAAGAAAAATTGCAAGAGATAACAGCTGAAATCATCTAGGGGATATTGGCCCGAAAGTTCACTGCTTATAATCATAGTATACAGACTTATTTCCAGGAAATTTATAAGCATCGTTGATATGAATATTTTGCTCTTGCTCTTAAAATCACTTTAAAGAGATACAAAATTAGGGCATCAAAAATACTACAAGTGTCTTTATCAAGGCGTATTTTTTTAATTTTTATTTTTAAAAGACGAAAAAGATCCTGCAAGATACAGAAATCAGAATGAACTTAATTATGAATTTTTCAAATTGCTTTTGATAAACTACAGGAAATTGTATTAGGACTTCAGGATAATCTGTAGCACTCCCAAGGATTGCAGGATATATTTTACTCATTCACCCCTAAAATTTCATAATGAACTATTCCAACCTTTGAACTGGAAGAGTTCAAATGTGTCTTCAGAGGTGAATGAGTTATGAAGAACTGCAGAAATATTTTCTAGCTTTGTGCTAGAGGCCTCAGTAAGTAGAGTAACCGGGTCTGAACCTGAAAGTCATTGGTTTGATTCTCTGTGGAAGTATACCACTCCCTTCCTGTTATAAATCATGGGTAACCTTCATCCACAAATGTATAGGCCCACCACCAAATGTATAGGCCCACCACCAAATGTATAGGCCCACCAAATGTATAGGTCCACCAAATGTATAGGTCCACCAAATGTATAGGCCCACCACCAAATCTATAGGCCCACCACCAAATGTATAGGTCCACCAAATGTATAGGCCCACCAAATGTAAAGGCCCACCACCAAATGTATAGGTCCACCAAATGTATAGGTCCACCAAATGTATAGGTCCAACAAATGTATAGGCCCACCACCAAATGTAAAGGCCCACCAAATGTTATAGGTCCACCAAATGTATAGGTTCACCAAATGTATAAGTCCACCAAATGTATAGGCCCACCAAATGTATAGGCCCACCATATGTTATACATGTAGGTCCACCAAATGTATAGGTCCACCAAATGTATAGGCCCACCAAATGTATAGGCCCACCAAATGTATAGGTCCACCAAATGTATAGGTTCACCAAATGTATAAGTCCACCAAATGTATAGGCCCACCAAATGTATAGGCCCACCAAATGTTATAGGTCCACCAAATGTATAGGCCCACCAAATGTATAAGCCCACCAAATGTATAGGCCCACCAAATGTATAGGTCCACCAAATGTATAGGCCCACCAAATGTTATAGGTCCACCAAATATATGGGTCCAACAAATGCATAGGCCCACCAAATGTATAGGCCCACCAAATGCAAGTAACTAGAACTTTGATATAAAGCATTTGAGTGGTTACTTGTTATCCCACAAATTCATTTACTCACAAAATGATGTTTTGTTGGGAAACCAGGAGATTTGGGCCCCACAAAAATATCTGATTTCACAGTATATACAGTTGATTTTGACTGTAAATAGGATTATGGTCACCTTCTAGCTTTGTGTTAAAAGGAATGTCCCCTTAGCTCAGTCAGTAGAGCGATGGGCCGGGACACAGGGGTCGCTGGTTTGAACCCTGTTGGAATTACAATATATACTTGTCCTGTTACTTATGTAAACATGTTTGTGCTTACCGTGGTTACAGACGGTTAAATCGTCAACCCAGTTCTGGTATCCGCTACAGCAGAAGTAGTTGTAGAGCGTTTTATCTCTGCAAGTAAAGAAGCATATTCTTTATAATTTATTTATAATTAACAGTTGTAAGAAAAGTCACTCTGCTAAATTAGTTATATAATTGAAATTTACCAACTGGGTCTAAAGCATTTACAGTCCAAAATACATGGTATCTATAAATTCATTACATGAGTTCTTTCATATGCTGTTCCCCCACGATCCACTTTTTCAGGTTATGCAGGTTATATAATATTGTATAACCTCCCCCCCCCCCAACCCCCCCACCAAAAAAAGCAAAACAAGAATAGAACTTACTTATATTTGGTACAGCGACCCCACTTCCAGAAACTGCACTTGACAGTATATTTAGTTTCCACTGTGCGAGTGCTCACACATACATGGTTTCTGAAAATAAAAATTTAGAAATATTAACAAAATATACTTAATTCACAATAAAAAAAATATTCTTGAAAAAAATATACATGTACTTATATACAAATTCTGCTGTCCATACACGACACAACAGTCATGATATGCTACAGAAACCATTTTTTCATTTGTCAAGGTCAAGGCCAAAAGTCAAATTGAGGTCACAGTGACATAGTTTTAGAATGTGCCCCACCACCTTCCAACGATGTACTTGTATACAAAGTTTGATGGCCATTTAATCATTCATGAAACAGTGGCCGAGATATGCTCCGGAAATAAACCACAGTCAGCATGGACGAATGCATGCAAAGACACAATACAGGGAATACGTCATTTCCGAGATACAAGTTTCCGCAACAACATCATTTGACTTGGTGGCCACGACTGTACCGGTACATATGTATATTCAGGGATAATGTATACCTCTAGTTCAAAGGTAAACCTATCCTTGATACTCGGGGGGTTTCACTTTCTTTCGCTCTCTGCTACCTGTAAAATTGAAGGCTTAGTGTGCGCCTCTTGTGGATGAGACAAGAAGACTAGTTTGATGTACATCAAAAGTATCTCGTGGTCGCTTTACTGTAACATTGAATGCCTTCGAAGTCCAGAGTCGCTCAACTGTTATCTTCTAAGGACATTAGCCTGGCGATTGGTAAGATTTTTCCACCTGAGACCAATTAAATAGTTAGAGACCAATTAAATAGTTAGCCATGTGCCTTCAATTTGCTATGACATATTCCAGGGGTCCAGAGAGTGAAGTAAGTGAAATCCCTGGAGCATGATGATCCAGGATGCCTGAGTAAACCATGCAGTAGCATACCAATTTTGTCAAAATAAAACATTGATAAATTTAGACGAAAATTGATAAAAATAACACTTCTTTCAAGGAAAGGATATACATAGACTAGTACCCTGTGCTCTAGCATGCTTTCTGGAACCACATATCATTTTTTTTTCTCATATTGTTTTGCACAACTCTCAGATATTGGGTGCTTACCAGAAATACACACAAAAAGAATGTTTTGTTTTAAGTCGTATGTATCAGAGACTTATAGTCTATTGTACTTGACATTTCATAGCTGTCAACCCTCTCTCATTAGGAGCATGTTAAGAGGGGGCTTGAGACTCTCATTTTGACCGAAATTTATCAATTAATCTCCCTCAAAACTCCCTCATTCAAGTCCAAACTCGCACAAACCTAAAATCTACATCCTGTGATCAAATGATATCCTAGTTACTGCAAGGTTATTTTGAAACATAAAAAGAGATTTAAGACAAATTGAATGAAGTAGTTTCAGACTCTTTCTCACTCATTGGAAATGTGGAATGAGGGAGATCTCCCTCATTGGAGGTTTGTGGGGTTGACACCTACATGTATGATATATTTGGCGTCTTCTCATTTAGCCAACATTTTGTTTCGACTCCTTAACCACGGAATTAGATTTGTTATCGAAGTCCGTGCCTAAACCCATAAACCATTAAACATTACCCTGAGTCAACATTTTGTATTCGACTCCTAAACACATGCAGCCAGGCCTGCATAATCTTTACTTTTGCAGGTTCGCCAGGCTTAATTTAACAGACAAACCGATACGCGAAAGGGGCCCTTAACACCGACAACTCTGATCACTTGAGCAGAGACGTATAAAGCCATATACATATAGCAGTGTTATATACGTCTCTGACTTGAGTAAGACTATACATAAAAAACGATCTCCAAAGTATTAAAATGTGAAAATGGCCGCGGGTAACTCCCTGTGTACCAACATCTTACCAAATGTATCACACACTTTGTTCGGAACACCAGAAAGTCGGCCACCCGTTATTGTACGATACGGCTGTGGAAACTAGTCATTTCCCGCCAAAACTTATCAAGGGATGTCACTCTTCTGGGTTGGCATGGCGTACAGAGAACGGGACATGGAGAATACAGAGACGTTAACAGTGGCGGATCCAGAGACCTATCTGGGGGGGGGGNAGAGTGTCATAAACCGTGACAAAACAGACAAGGCATTTCCTTATGTTAGCTTTGTTCCTGGTTGTATTGACACATTGTCTCTTGTTATATTACGATATCATTATATGATATATGATATAACGGATATATCAACAACATCAGGAGCGTGTTGCATTTGCAGAATATATAACAGTTTCCACAAATCAATCTAACCTAAATAGTACATAGTTTTATATAGATAGGATCTTTATAATAATATTTAACATTAATCAATTATCCTGTAAGCGTTGACGAATTCAAACACTATTTGGCATAAAGAAATATTACTGGGTTTTTTTTCATGCCCAAGGCTCGATAATAACCGGAAGAACAACGTTAAGCCCAATCAGAGACGTATATACTGGCTTTATAGTTTCTGGTCCTATCAATCACAATATTTTAAGTGATTGGGCCTAATTGAAACATTTTTGAGACGGTCCCCAAACAATAAGTTTGAATTTCGGCCAAAAATCCTGTGGCGATCTGAGTTAATTAGACTAAGAGTGTCATAAACCGTGACAAAACAGACAATGCATTTCCTTATGTTAGCTTTGTTCCTGGTTGTATTGACACATTGTCTCTTGTTATATTACGATATCATTATATGATATATGATATAATTACGCAATGCAATTTACGTACAGAAATATTTCTCTATTGCAGAATAAAGAAATATTTTTCAATTACACAATATGATGTGGACCGAATTAAAATATAAAGCCATTAACCTGGTAAAACAGGTCTGACATTAAATTGTGTACTTTTTCATTACGACGTAAAGACAATACCACAGGGACCCGCAGATAATTAGTTACCACAGAAATATTTTAAATATAATTTCAATGTACGCTGTCAAGTCAAATAATTGATCACGATCCTGCTAGTGGTTAAATCACCAATACAAAAACATTTGTATAGACAAAGGTGATGCCTGATTGTTACACGGAAAGTAGAACAATGTATATTCATTGTATTTTGTATCTAAAATCTCTCATTGGAGGATAAAAGACATTGATTGATTGATTGATTGATTGATTGGTACACATGTACTAGTACATTCTAATGATGGTACACATGTACCAGTACATTCTAATGATGGTACACATGTACTAGTACACTCTAATGATGGTACACATGCACTAGTACATTCCAATGATGGTACACATGTACTGGTACATTCCAATGATGGTACACATGCACTAGTACATTCCAATGATGGTACACGTGTACTGGTACATTCCAATGAAGGTACACATGTACTAGTACATTCTAATGATGGTACACATGTACTAGTACACTCTAATGATGGTACACATGTACTAGTACACTCTAATGATGGTACACGTGTACTGGTACATTCCAATGATGGTCCACATGTACCAGTACATTCTAATGATGGTACACATGCACTAGTACATTCCAATGAGGGTACACGTGTACTGGTACATTCCAATGATGGTACACATGTACTGGTACATTCCAATGATGGTACACATGTACTAGTAAATTCCAATAATGGTACACATGTATTAGTAAATTCCAATGATGGGACACATGTATTAGTAAATTCCAATGATGGTACGCATGTATTAGTAAATTCCAATGATGGTACACATGTACTAGTAAATTCCAATGATGGTACACATGTACTAGTACACTCAAATGATGGTACACATGTACAAGTACAATCCAACGATGGTACACATGTACTAGTACATTCAAATGATGGTACACATGTACTGGTACAATCTAATGATGGTACACATGTATTAGTAAATTCCAATGATGGTACACATGTATTAATACATTCCAATGGTAGTACACATGTACTAGTACACACCAATGATGGTACAATGTACTGGTACCTTTTAATGATGGTACACATGTACTAATACATTCCAATGATGGTAAACATGCACTAGTACACTCCAATGATGGTACACATGTACTGGTACATTTTAATGATGGTACACATGTACTAATACATTCCAATGATGGTACACATGTACTAGTACACTCCAATGATGGTACACATGCATTAATACATTCAATGGTGGTACACATGTACAAGTACACTCTAACGATGGTACACATGTACTAGTACATATAAATTATGGTACACATGCATTAATACATTCAATGGTGGTACACATGTACTAGTACATTTTAATGATGGTACACACGTACCAGAACATTCCAATGGTGGTACACATGCATCAATACATTCAATGGTGGTACACATGTACCAGTACACTCTAACGATGGTACACATGTACTAGTACATTCAAATGATGGTACACATGTACTAGTACACTCTCACATGCATCAATACATTCAATGGTGGTACACATGTACCAGTACACTCCAACGATGGTACACATGTACTAGTACATTCCAATGGTTGTACACATGTACTAGTACACTCCAATGATGGTACACATGCATTAATACATTCAATGGTGGTACACATGTACAAGTACACTCTAACGATGGTACACATGTACTAGTACATTCCAATGATGGTACACATGTACCAGTACACTCTAACGATGGTACACATGTACTAGTACATATAAATTATGGTACACATGCATTAATACATTCAATGGTGGTACACATGTACAAGTACACTCTAACGATGGTACACATGTGCTAGTACATATAAATTATGGTACACATGCATTAATACATTCAATGGTGGTACACATGTACTAGAACACTACAATGGTGGTACACATGTACTAGTACACTCTAACGATGGTACACATGTACTAGTACATATAAATTATGGTACACATGCATTAATACATTCAATGGTGGTACACATGTACAAGTACACTCTAACGATGGTACACATGTACTAGTACATTCCAATGGTTGTACACATGTACTAGTACACTCCAATGATGGTACACATGCATTAATACATTCAATGGTGGTACACATGTACTAGAACACTACAATGGTGGTACACATGTAC